ATAATCTAAGAATCTGCGCTGGACAGCAGAGGCAGTCGTAATTTGAAGAATGTCACACTGGATTCACGAATGAGACACTCCGAGGCGACTACAATTCCGCCTCGCATAGGTCCTTCCAAGTTTGATGTTCGGCGCCGCCAAAGCTCAGTTACTGCAGTTTTGATCCCGCAGTAAGATTCCTTGGGTGACTGATGTTTCGTCCCTGTAGAAGAAATTACCAAGTCATGAAGTTCGTCGTTCCTGGAGAGATGAAGATAAATCCCGCTGTTCGATTCTGTTTAGAACTTCTCACTCAGTTCTTCGTCTGAACAATCGAAATTTGAACTTTGCGGATGTGGCGTAAAAGAGTTCTTCTATTTATCTAGCATATCATTTTTGTTTTTCTTCTGATTGAGTCCATGGGTCGTTGTTTCGGTAATGGTTTGAAACGCCTCTTTTCGTAGTCGTAGTCCACCACTGGAGTTGCAAAGAAGTATGATATCAGATGCGTAGTCGAGATACAAAAAATGTAAGACTGGGTACCTTGAACTCTGCCTTCAGCTTAATGTCAGTCCTCTTCCGTTGAGATGGTCAACGCGTTGCCTCATCACCCTGTCCAAAAAAAGACCGAAGAAAATTGGAAAGAGGACATCGTATTGTTTCAAGTCAATTCTGATTTCTCAGATGGTTTCCCTTCAGTTGTCAAATGAAATAGCTGTATGTACTGATGCGCTGTTTTTTATCTTTTATCCTATCACTTGTAGAGTTGAATAGATTATTCGTTTTGAACATGCTTCTGCAAATGCAACTGAACTGAATTTCAGTTCGGTTCAAGTAAACTGATCAGAGCAAATATTCACGAGCCTTAAAAAAATCATGCCCATCCGTGATATGGTTGCTGGAGATGCATGAATCAAACTGTCGCATTCGAACAAGAAGTTCACATTGGAGCCAAACTGAATTCGTTCTCCTGATGGCAGCTGGAAGTTCATTTGCATCAATGTCTTCAGGAGTAATCATTTTAATTGGCAATTACCGTGAGCAGATGATTGTCATCGAGAACGGAGTTTAATGATTCCACCCATTCGGGATCTATGTCTCCATCGCAGATTATCCAGTTGTGGGTATCTAAATGCAAATCACTGTTCAGTTTAGTAGTTCTGAACACTTTATGTTTATATAAATACTCTAACGCTGGTAACGTATTCTGAGTAAATGTGTGCTACCTAACTTCAACTGAAGTTAAATAGTTTGATATTTAAACGGTATCAAGGTTACACACCTCTTCGTTCCGTTGAACGATTCGTACGGCTTTGACATAATATGAAACGCAGCATAGGTGTCTCTCTTAAACAAGCAGTCATGAGCATGATATTGATTTACGCAGAGCGACAGCCAAGACGTGATCGTTTAAGGTAGAAGAACTTGAGTCACCGAGGCTCAACGTCGGATTGTAACGCGTAACAGTATTTCCGTCGAATTTATTACTCACTGCATGCAGGAAAGAAATCAAGGCCGAGAACGTTTGCGAGTGTAAGCTTTGCACATTTACGTTTTATTCTTCCTCTAGATTTCTTAGTGTCTTAACCAAAAAATGTTACATTGACCTGTCCTAATGCTTCATGCGCACTGAAATGGCGATGACATTGCGTTTGGTATCTACATTCAAGAAGATGGCTCTTTAACATTTTATGTACTGTAGCCAGTTAGGTACCAAAGCGGCTACACTGCGCAGACTGTAATTTAAGTTAATCAACCAAAGACATTTGTCAACTTGACCTTTCTGATTCGCGAAAAAGCATTCCGAAGTTACACGGTAACTTGTACATCCATCCTAGAGTCGTTAGTCACAGAATTTGTTAAAAACTCATTAAGTATATCAGAGCTTTTATGTATGACGTTCATATTATATTTAGTATAAAGTAATCCTGGTAACTACAATGAAATTTCTATGAATAGGTGGAATTAAGCGAGGTTTATTACTGAACATGTAACAGTGAGAAAATTACATCGAAGAAAAGTGGAACACTGTCATTCAAAGAACAGTGTTAAGTTAGGAAAGTTTGTCACCAATGGAACGTCAGGCTTCTTTCACTTTCATGAATGGACCATTTTAACTCCTTTTTTTCATGAAATTGATAGTGCGGTGCTAATTTCTGTTTCTGTGCCATTAGCCACGAGTACTTCATTTTAAAAGCAGACTCTACAGCCACGTGGCAAGTGTAGCATGTAGTCCCATGTTTCTTTCCCATAGAGTGGCACTGATTTATCAACCTCGGAAGGAAGAACGGCGAGTGATTCCGACCAGGGCTGGAACTCGGGACCTATAAGGTCTCAGATTGACGCTCAACCGACTGAGCAAGCCAGGTCTGAAGCAAAGCAAACGTGCGATAAATTCCTTGCTCAACGGAATTCCTGAATAAGACAAAGATAGCTCTCAAGCGGAATTGAAAACAGCACTTCCGGAGTTCGAAGTTGACTGTTCATACAACTGTGCTAACTCCAATTATTATCCGGTCTTGCCACAACGTCAACCGGAACAAAGGATACGAAATCTGAACGGACTGGATAAGTCTTGTCGTATCTGCTGACGAAAAACTACGCAGCCAACGGCATTGACAAAAGGCTCACCTTTTTGCTCCGAACGTTGAAACAGCTGCGGACCAGAGAACGAACGAAAACCAACCCTGCCCATTTTGAAGAAAGCCCGTGAGATACAAACCGAAACTTCGGTACCGGTTAATCACCGGACTGACAAACTTGTGCTTCAATAAACCGTGTCTTCATAGAGTTTTCATGTATGTATGCACTCACCGGTATTAATGCTTATTGATATGGATCAACAAGTTAATCACAGTTACCAATGATTCTTCTAATCTGCATGACTACTTTTTCCAAAATTGACAGAATTTGAGAGCAAATGATGAAAGCAATCGAAGAATTCGATATGTAGTTCCTGGTATTTCGTGTGAGAAACTAGTTGATGCCTGCACTAAAGTGCCTGGAAGCAGCACTCTTCACGACTTTGGGGACTATGAAATGTAATAGGAGTTCTGTTGAGGCCCCGCCAGAGCTTCTGAAAGAGAAGGCAACGTGGTTCAAATCACGCTGTGCTTTATATTCCTACAATGTGTCTTGAGTGACAGACAAGGTTACGACATGTTCAGCAAGTCTAGATTTGCAAGCTAAAAATGGTGTATGCTAGCGATAAAAAAGATTATGATAGAAAATACATTAAAACTGTATCATGAAAAGCGGTACATGAAGGTTTGTATTACCTAAATCTTCCCGTGTGGCCAGTTTAGCATAACGAGTAAGAATGCCGTCGGTCCACTCTCTAGTATCTGGATTGATGTATCCAAAAAGCTAAACATAAGCATTCATCAACATCGAACGCATTTAAAATCTGAATTAATTACCCGATGCTTCGACATTGATTTCGGACTCAGGATGTACACCTTCACCTTCTGACCTTGTTTATTCAAAGCTGAACGAAGCAGTTTCCATAAGGTTGTTTTGCCCGAACCACCTTTAAATTCAACTCAAGAGAAAAATACAGGTCATCAAGCTAGACGTTACTTGGTCCCACGATCACGATTCCAATCCGCTGGTGGAGAAGTTCATAGAGTTGGTACAGCTTTTCTTCCTGAAATGAGATCGTATCCAACTCTTAAAAAGTACTTTATTGAGGTTAAACGAAATCTCAAGTTTCTGGATGTAATTATCTTCCACTTCTTTAACAGTAAGTGGCCGTAGGCCAGAGAGATTTTTAAACATAATGCGACGTTTAGGCTTTCAAAACAGCAGTCGTTGCCAAAGTGAATACAAAATATTCTTTAACAATGGAGTGACGGTAAAAATGCAACATGAAAATTTCCGTGAGAAAAGATTCGAGCAGTACATGACGAAAGAATGACTCTCCTTATAAGGTGTTTCTGTTGCCTTAAAGAATTGGACAAACTCAGTTTTGTAGTTTCACTGCACATATGGCAACAGGGAAATAAACCTCTAATAGAGAAGAAGATCCAGAATCTATACGCCACACGGTAGAACATCGAGTAATGCTTCTATTGGTTGCTGTGATCGTGTCGAATCGTATTCATATGCAAATCTTTGACTTGTGACATCCATTGCATTCTCAGTGTTTCAGTTCTTAGTTTACACCGCATCGGTTAGTGCAATGAAAAAAGATCGATTCATCACCAAAAACAGATCTGCCTCTGTCTTGCTCGTACATGTTGTACGCTTGCTTCGTAGTCCAAGACTGTCGTGTTTTCAATTTCCCGTGTCAGCAGTTCACAAAGTGGAAGTTTTATGCTCCACCAGTTTGGCTGGCGTAGCCAATTTCATTTCAGTTATCTCTAGGCCCGTGACTATATCCGTATCCAGAAAGAAATAGAGTCAAACCACTTCATGTGGTTTTATCAACAAGCGTCGAGTCAGTGCACCTGAACTTAAAACGATGGCCGCTATGGTGACAAGGACCTAACCCAGAAACAGTACAGACGCTGGCTTTTGGATGAATACTGGGTATGGATAAATGAAAACTGCAAAATACACTATACAGTATATTTATACACAGCGCAAATTTGTCAGTCGGGTGACTGATCAAAGCCAACAATTTGACTTTCTCTTTCTCTTACACTAGCCTTCTTCAGGGTTGTCAAGATTGTTTTCGTTAGTTCGTTCTGCGGTCTGCAGCTCTAGTGATGTTTGGAACCAGAGGTATGCTTTTGGCCCATACTGCTCGTTCAGCGTTTGGAGCTTTATAAAGATTGTCCAATCGCGCAGAGTTTGGACTTTGTTCCAGATGATAATTTTCAAAATTGGAAAACTAAAGCTTCTTTGTTTCGTCCGTTCAGTCGGTTTCTTTCTTTAATGACGCCCGTGCAATCTGACCATTTGGGGGCATGACTTTCCTTTGCAGTGTGTTGCACAATCCGAGACGTATTCGCATTGTTCTTTGACCTTATTAGGGATGAGGTTTTGTTTTCTTCCTGGAGAAATGTTGTCGCATGTCGCTGCTATTATCCAATCCTGGGAAAATGATCATCAGCGCATGAACGAAATGTTCAATCTTCGGATACGGATAAATGGATAATCTATTTTAAGCCCAAATAATAGACAGGTTACTGGAAATATTTTAAACAAGGGCAATAACTCCTAAATCTTTAACTTGCTGAAAAAATCGCTGGAACTGAAGTTTCTGTTGTGCTAGATGGGTTGCGGATGACTTTGACTCCTAAGCACTGTGGATGAGGTCTGGATCGATTTAAGGCACTGTTTTAGAAATCGAAGCAGTTGGCTGGCGCAGTTAACTTTCCACGCATCTGCAAGATCAAAATAGTCTGCGTACTTAAGCAAGATATCTGACTAGATATCCTGAACTAAGCCTCCCTTGCAGAACGAGATTTTCATTTTTGACACTGTTTCAGAGAAACGATGTACATGTTTTCGGCTGGTCAAAACCAGAAATAAAACGATGTAGAATGAGTAAACAAGTGCACAATCACAGTTTGCGGTATAATAGGTAAAGCACGGAAAGTGTAGGAACAATGTTATTTCCGATGATCCGTAGGAGCAAACTGCCGTTCAACATTTGATCAGTTATTTATGCAGCTTTTGAGCTATTACACAATTCAGGTGCCCAACCTTCATAATAGACAATCGTCTAGAAGGACTTAAACGCTCTTCAAAAATTCATATTGTGGGTGGCCAACGGGGAAAACAAGGACCAAGTGGGTCACGTGTTTGGAAACAGCCTATCAGTGTTATAACTTTCGGCCCACGGAATTTAACCACTTTGTGAAGAACCGATACCACTGAACAGCTTCTTGAGGCTACTGCTTCCGCAACCAAAAATGAATGTTGTTGCATTGTCATCGTTATCTGAGACAAAGGATGCTTAAACAGCTGAGTAACCTAGATTTATGATGTCTAGTCGTTACAAATAATACTTCAAATTGATACTAGACAGTGCTCACTGCTGCGGCAAAGGTCACTCGAATCGCAAGCAGATCTCCCTCAACGTTGCTTTTTCAGGGTCTGCACTGCTCTCAAATCCGTTTAATGCCATTAGGCGTTCCTACGCAAGAAAGCATCGTACACATCTCCATTTTCCTTTTGGTCCGTTTGAGTTATTCGATTATTTTCAGAAAGAAGAAAAGTAGAAAATTTAATTAATGAATAAATACTAAAAACTGCAAGAACTTTACGATCGTATCTAAGGAGAAGCTGAAATACTACGACTTTTCAGACTTACCTGCTTGTCTGATATTTCAATGCCGATTTCAAGACTGCAACTCTGCACTGCCTCTTTCAAATTGTCGAACACGATCGGCTCAAATTTTATGCCCGGGAACACGTCCCTTAAAATCTGGTCGAAACTGATGCTGTCGGCGAAAGTCAGTTTTGGAAGTGTGTTCAGACGGACGCTCCGAACGCAAGTCCAATGTTCGTTGACGTCTTTCTCCGCAGCCCTATTGTTCGTCCTTTGCAGTCTCAGTAAATCTCCGCAGGATTGTAGCACAGTTTTCAGAGCTCTGAGTCCCCAATCATAGTGCTGCTGACTGCTGAGGATTTCCCTGAAATAGAGGTACCTCATAATCTATCTGACCGCATCGCATTTTAGCTAACCGGCAGATAGAAAACAGCGTAACAAGCTTCCTTGCGATTTCACTGGCCTTTTTGAAACCGTCGGCCAGCAGCAGGGTTTCCGCAATTTGGTATGAATCTGGCTCCGTCATCGCAATCGGTCGAAACAGTTGCTTCAGATTGTCTGGAAGCTCCTGACGACCTCCATAGCCATGTCCGGCTGGATTAAGGGTTATACATATGGCCGCTTTATGGTCGATTTCAACCTTAATGAATTTCTATTCGTTTATTCTTCTAAAAGAAGTTAATTATTTAGTTTCATTTTCAATTTTTCTGCTGCTTGGTGCTATTTTGACCTTGGCATATTTTATTAACTGCAAAAGACTATCAAAACTAAACATTAAGTTTTAATATCGTTATGACCTAATGACTGTAAAGAATAAGAAATGTGAACCACATGTAATTTTAATCGACACGACGTCACCA